TTCATAAAACCACCTCTTATTGGAATTTGTGCCACTCTGGGATGCTGAAACAAATTTGGGCTAAAGAAGAAACAGAGATAATTTTTCTGCTTCTTGGTGTCTCTGTGGTATTCGTGTAGAATTTGTTCGAAATTGTTTTTCTACCTGAACAGTTCTCCTTTAGGAAAATTAACCTAAGGGAGGTCTAGCACCGCCATTCTGAAATCCACTGAGTGGACATGTGCCCCTTCAAGCTGTCACCCAAACTCTGGCTTCTTGCCTCAGCCCCACCCCTGCTCTTTGACTTCCAGCAATGACATGTCTTCCTGGAGTTTGGTCCTTTACAAAGGCTGCCCTACCTCCACATTCCAGCAACTCTCTTTCTGTTCACAAATCCCTAGGGCTTATTACCTTACTTCTTGGTTTGTTCTTGCATTCCTGACCATTTTTTTTTTTTTTTTGCTTCCTCTTGGTTGTTCTGGTCCCTTAGCTCTGACAGCTGACATTGGCTGTCCTGGTGGGCACTATGCCTACCCACCTCAGAGGTCTGACATAAGTTCCAATCAGCTTCTGGAGATTTCAGGATACTACCTTTCCTGGGCATCAGAGTCACTGCTGCCATAGAGACTTATGATGTTTTCTGATTCCTCAGTCCCCCCCCCACCTTTTTAGAAGATTGAGAACATCCAATGTGACTATCTCAATATCTTTCTCCTCTTCTTCAAAATATTCCTTCATCATCACATGGTGACTCTTCCTTTGCTCTTGACTTTAAATGAGAACTTTTTTTCTGGAAAACCCTATTAACAAATGGGAGAACTGACACTAGCCTTAGTTGATGGAAGATTACATGAGGAAAGTCACCATCCTAGTCTATTAGTTACACTCAAGAATTGTTAGTATTTGCCTGACATGTTGGTGCATACTTGTAATCCCAGAAACTCAGGAGGCTGAGGCAGGAAGATTGCAAGTTCAAAGCCAGCCTTAGCAACTTAGGAAGTCCCTCAGCAACTTAGTGACCTCATTTCAAAGTAAAAAAATAAATTAAAAAAGGAGCTGGGAATGTTGCTCAGTGGTTAAACACCTGGGTTCAGTACCAAAAAAAAAAAAAAAAAAGAGTTGTTAGTTCTTTAGTTTCTGAAGCTACTATGACTTGGGCCACATCCTCAGACCTTTGAACTTGCCAACCTCATAAGAACAAGACTCATAAGAGCAATCCTCTTGCTCAGCCTCTGGAACTGCTGGGATTACTGGTATCTGCCACCACGTCCAGCTTAGCATGTTCTTTCTGATACACAGCATCAGGCTAAAGTTAAGGTATATGTGGTTTCCAGGATTCAGGAAGAGGCAGAGACACAGACTATTATTGGCAAGAGTTAAATAAAATGTATGATTCAATGAACTATTCTATTTTGGGAGCTGTCCAGTGATAATAGTCCACTATAATCTCCAACCTGCCCACTTAATATCTCCAATATTCTCAGGTTCAATGTCCAGGAAACACAAAGATATATAATGGATATGTGGAATGCAAGAAATGGTAAATAAGGACATCTCAGCAACCTTTGCATACAATTGAATTGACTAAATACTTTAATTCATTCAAAATAGATGTATCAAGTTCTGATTCTTTATAAGGCAGTGCCAGGTCAATAGGGAGCACAAAAACTAACATGACTTCTAAGAGCTTATAAAAAAGTTTACAGGCCAGTTCAACTAACAGGGAATATAGTGCACAGTGCTAGAAGGGTATCATCCCAAGTGTCTGAAGATAGAGGGGTGGGAGATGTTACTCCTGCTTGGAGGTATCTCACAAAATTTTTAGGGGAAAAGCTGTGTTAGAGCTGAGCTATAAAAGGTCATTATAAATGGAGGCAATTGGGGGACAGAGGGACAGAGAGCCCTGGGTATGTTTGGGTGAGTTTTCTACAGTGGTTTGAGCTGCTGGAGCCAGTGAACAACTTAGGGCAATGCCAACCAGGGTATGTCCTTTTGTAGACCACAGGTAGGTGAACTGGAGGGAGCCCATGCTCCCTGACTTCATACTCTATAAAGGCAGGTTTTGGAAATGGGGGCCAGAAAGAGCAAGTCTTACTGCTTTGGGCTTTTTTTGCTTTGGAGAGAATGAGAAGTCATAGCTGTACGTTGAAAGAGGGAATGGAGCTTAGGAACAGGACAGAGTTCTAAAGTGGTGAAATGGGACCAGAAGCAAAGAAGTGGTCCAGTGCTCAGGGCATCTTAACATCTGTTTTGGATTCCCTCTACTTTGTTAGCCTAAATGCTATCTTTGCCTACCCTGCAGTAAGAAGCGGCCTTATGATGGACAATTCTGGGGAAACTTTTGCTTTCCTGATAAAAATGGACAGATATTTCTGGCACTGGTTTCTCCTCTTCTTGCCTTCTTTTCTTCTAGTGCCTGGAGCTGAAGTAGCTATTCTGCAGCTACCCCATGGAAAAGCCAGGAAAATTGCAGAGATGCCTGCATATGGAGATAGCTGAGCCTGTAAACAAATACTTCCAACTTCTTGACCTGTAGTGGGGAAAATGCACATTTATCCCATAATGAATGTAGTTTGCTGTTATTTGATGAAACTTTCCTAATTTGGAGTTTGCTAGCCACTGACCTCAGGATTCTGGGGATAGAGAGAAGGAAATCCTCAAGTTCCATCCTTGCTTGATCATCTCCTTTTAAGGGACTCAGACAACATGCTACCCTATCATCAATGCGGTACCATTGGCTGGAGTATTCCTCATTTTTTTTTTCTTAGAAATTTGTGTGGCAGACAAAGTCTACAGTGATAAAACTCAGTGGTCAAAGTGAATAGCTACAGCAGCAGCAAATCAATATATATTTATCCAAGGCTACTGACAAAGCAGAGGCATTGATTAATCACATTTGGGATAACTGAATGAACGTTGGACTTGGCACTGAATGTCAAAAGGATAGGGTACAAAGTTGACCCATTAACTAAACGTTTTTTAACCTTTGCACCAAGCATATAATTTTATAAATGCATATTACACTTTCATAAATCCTTTTGATTGAGTTACTATAAGATAGGGCTAGGGCTGGGGATGTGGCTCAAGCGGTAGCGCGCTCGCCAGGCATGCGTGCGGACCGGGTTTGATCCTCAGCACCACATACAAACAAAGATGTTGTGTCTGCCAAAAACTAAAAAACTAAAGAAATATTAAAATTCTCTCTCTCTCTCTCTCCCTGTTAAAAAAAAAGAAGTATAGAGATAAGGAGCCAAGATTAGATTGCAGACCTGACAGTGATAATATATATAAAAAAAGATAGGGCTAATTGGAGAAACTATCTTCCTTGGATTGATATAATTGTTTTTATTTTGGTACTGGAGATTGAACCTAGAGGTGCTTTACCATTGAGTGACATCCCATCCCTTTTTATTACTAGTTTTTAAATTTTGGGAAAAGGACTTGCTAAGTTGCCCAGGCTGGCATCAAACCTGTGATCCTTTTGTCTCAGACTTCCAAGTTGTTGGAATTATGGGTATGTGCCACAATGCTTGGTTCTGAATTCTACTTTTAATATTACAAAGTAAATTATTTTCTTTCTAAAGTTTTTAAAAATGATGGCTTATGCCTTTGTGCATTTTAATCAAGTTGTAACTATATGAAGCACATAGAAATAACTTAAAAACCTATGTAGGCTGGGTGTGGTGGCTCATGCCTGTGAAGGCTGAGTCAGGAGGATCAAAAGTTCAAGACCAGCCTCAGCAGTTAGGTCCTAAGCAACTTCATGAGACCCTATCTCAGAATTAAAAAAAAAAAAAAAAGTCTGGAGACATAGGTCAGTGGTAATGCGCCTCTGGGTTTAATCCCTAGCATCCGCCTTCCAAATTCATGAATATTATTGTAATAGACATGACAGCAAGAATAAAATTTTTTTTAAAGAGAGAGTTAGAGAGGGAGAGGGAAAATTTTTCAATATTTATTTTCTAGTTTTTGGTGGACACAACATCTTCGTTTGTATGTGGTGCTGAGGATCAAACCCAGGCCGCACACATGCCAGGCGAGCGCCCTACCGCTTGAGCCACATCCCCAGCCCAAGAATAAAATTTAATCACCTAGTCAATACCATAGTCTCTAGGCCATATGTATTAAATTAATTAAAAAATAACAGTAAAAATTCACTTCCTCAGTTGCATTAGGTACACTTGAGGTGTTCATTAACCACAAGTGGTTGGTGGCTATCATATTGAACAGAGCAGATATACGTCATTTTCATCACTGTAGAAAGTTAGTTTAGATAGCACTGACCTAGATAAAACTTGGGTTGGTGAGGTTTTTCTTTCAAATAAACATACGGGAGCAGAGGAAAGGAAGCAGGAAGTTAACATCCCAGTGTTTTCTCCTGTCTACCCAAAGGAAGCTTACTGGAGGTGAAAACTATTCCTAGCTTCTGGATTCTACTGGTGCAGGCTGAGGATAAGAGCAGGCTTAGAAGCAGGCTAACCTAAGAGAACACTGTTTATGGTAGAAAGTTCTGGATTCAAATCTTGATTTAATCCTTTAAGCTTTGATCTAGAGTTGGTTGGTTACCTTTTTAAAATGAATTAATGTCCTCTTTCAAAGAGAGATTTATATCTTTTTTCTAGGGTTGTCCTAAGGATTAAATTACACAATGTAGATAAAAACATTCAGAAGGGAATCTGTTTAGTACATATATTTAGTGCTCAAAATATTTTGGCCATTATTTCTGACAGCTTTGTGTTAACTGTTACACAATAGACAACCAAAACAAGGTAAAGGGGAATTAATTGGTGAGTGGGGAAAAAGGATAGCAATTAGGATCAAAGAAGAAGGTGTTTAGGTTTAGTATCAGTCACGAAGTTATACTGTTTAGCTGCCCCGGAGAGGAAGGCTAAAATGGTGCAAAGGTTATGTTCACTGAAGATAAGGTCAAGGATCTAAGAAGTTAAGGTATTGGTAAGTCATGCTCACAAATACTGAAGTGATTCAGGATCATTAGGTAGAGAAGAGTGTGTACCAGGTACCTGCAATCTCATAGAACTGCCAACGTAGGAGCTGGGCCAGGTAGAGGACAACCTGAATCAGATGGGAGAAGGGTGTAATCAGATGGAACGTGTCTCCACGAATATTTATTTATTTTTGAAGAGGGTAGAGAATTCATGGGATGAAAGGGGAGAGCTGAGAAGATGCTGCCTACAAAACCTGACCTTGGAATACGTGAAATGTGGGAGAATAAGCAACCTTTTCTTGAAAAAGCTACAGGGGAACTGGTGCCTTCAATGTACAGGAAGGCTTTACAATTAAATGACGTACTACACGTTAGGTTTTTGGCTCCACATAGTGGGCACATGAACAAATTAGTTCTCGCTAAACATTCACTTAAGTACTTTCCTGTCCCTCTCCCTGTTTCTTTACTCAAAACGTTGAGCTAGGAGAAGGGACAGTGTTGGAGGCGCTCACCACACTCAGGATTTGTCTCCTCCGGATGAGGGAGTGCGCTTACCGAGGTTTTTCCTTAACCTCAGTAGAAGCTGCAGGGAAGAGACCCGAAGGTCATTCTCCCCTGCGTACAGAACACGTCATCCCTTTAGGAGACATTCACTCCTTCTTTCGACAAACATTAGTAGAGCAGCTACCAAGAGCTAGACCCCAGAGACAAGATACGAAACAGACACACTCTCGATCGCCGGGAGGTCGCGCAGTCGTGTTCCGAGTCAAAACCAACATCTGCAGGATCTTTCACGATGCTCCGACTTCCAAGTTCTCTTCTTATGTAGGAAGTCGGTGTAAAGCTGGTACCGGAATTACTTCCAGGCTTGGCCGCGGTGGTTCTGGGCTCCTAGTTGCATTCTTCAGTTCGGACGCACCTACCCGATTTGCCCGCGTACACCTGGGCTTCGCCGGGGCCGAAGGGGCAGGGCTCGAGGGCGGGATCACCTGTGGGCGGGGCCAGGCGGAGGGCGAGGTTGACTCCGCCCCCGGGACTCCCATGGCCCCTTGCGCCTCACGGCCAGATGCTGACGTGTCCTTTCCTTCCCACTACACCTCCCGACACTACCTACTTGGGCTGCCCCGGAAGTCCCGCCCCATATTTAGGCCGTCACCGCAAATCAGCTCTTTCAGCGCTTCCTGGAGCTCTCCACCGGTTTTAGGACCAAGAGGTGGGGCTCCGTAAGCAGGGTGCCTATTGGCTCTAGGTCCGGCGGGCTTAGGATTCTAATTGGCCAGAGGGCGGTGGCGCTCTGGCACGCTTGCGCGGCGAGTAGAACGTGTGGCGGCGGCGGAGATCGCGTCTCCTCTTTTGCTCCTAGTCCCGCTGCTGCTTCAGTGAGCGCCCAGCGCGTTGGTCTAGTTTATCGCTCGCAGCTGGTCGCTCGCCTGCCTCTCTTTTCAGCGACCTCTCACGAAAGCCGACACCCACACTGACATCTCCAGTCCGGCCGGCCGCTCCACTCGCTTACCTTGCCAGCTCCACACATGGCCTCCTCCGCACAGAGCGGCGGCTCCTCCGGGGGACCCGCGGTCCCCACCGTGCAGCGGGGCATCGTCAAGATGGTGAGAGCGGGGCCCCGGACCTGGACCCCTCTGCCGCCTTCGATCGGGAGTCAGACATTGACTCCTTTTTTCCCTCCTGCCAGCCTGCATGGTCTCCAGATTCCCTTTCCTCTGTCCCCTTTCTCACTTTCCGCCCATCCTCCGAATCCCCTCACTAGACAGAACCCAACATGAGCTCCGCTTGGTCTTTGCTTTCTGGATACTCCCGCATCAGGGGTCACAGCGATTTTAGTGGTCGCAGCTTTCGGATCTCCTGACTCTACCAGGACAGATCGATTATTGATTTATTAACGGAGATAGTTCGTTGATATTTGTCCTCTCATTCCCCTCTTTCGGTCCATTTTGACATATGCTGAGCAGTTTGCAGTTTTTCAAGATCCTGCTATCCTCTCTTTCCTGGAACCCTAGGAGTACTTGGCCATCATGAAGCTTTTCCGTTTCCACCGACACTCAGTTACATACTCCAACTTTTCTCACTCTGTGTTCCTCTTTTCCCCTCCATATCTTGTGTCTAGTCTGTAGGTCTGGGAGTTCCTGATCATTGTGTCCTTTGACTCTTAAATTTTTAAGCAGCTGGAATCTTAATGATCATTATCTCCTCATCCCTTAAGTATAAGAGACAAGTTTAAAGAGAGCAAGTGATTTGCCTAAGTGCACATGGCAAGGGTTGGAGCCAGGAAAAACATCCAGGTGTTCTGATTCCTAGTACAGGCTTTTAACATTAAGTTCTGCCTGCTTTTATATGCCTTTGCTTTCTATATTCTTGAATTTTGACTTAACCTTGCATGATGATGAACTAGGTTCATCTCTAGTTCCATGATAATTTTGTATTGTAGATCTGCTTTATCATTGGCCCCCCTCAGTTGTCCTCTTCTTAGCCCTCCCAAATTTTGGAACCTGACATTTCTTTGGGTATCAGGTTGCCTGGTTGTAATGACGATAAACCTTTAGATTTCATTTTAGACTGCAATTCTTGACTTTTCCATCAGGAATGGCAAAGCTCCTTTATGACAATTTCTCCCAGGTTTCCACAGTTTTTCCTGTTGTAGTGTTCTACAGCTTGTGTGTGTGTGTGTAAATTTGATTTCAAGATTCTCCCCACCCCTTACTTTTCATGTACTAATTTCTTAGGTGTCTGTTGCCAGCTGAGATTCATGGAATATTCAATATTACCTTTTCTCTTTATGTATAATAGTCAGAATTTATCAGAAATTGAATGAGAAGAGCATTTCTAAGGTCTACATGTTCTCTTTGAAATTTTGACCTGACCCATGAAAGGATTATCTTAAAGTGTTTCCTGTTTTATTAACTTTTTCATTTATTCTGATTTTCTCTTTATCATAGGAACAAAGCATCTTTTCACTGTCTCGTGTTGGAATTGTCAGCCTAGAGTGGATTTTTGAGTTTTCTCCTTGTTAATGTCCAAATTTTTCTTAAAGTCCCCTCTTTTGTGTGATGGGAGTAGAATGAGGCTGAAAATATTTTTGCTTCCACCAGTGCTGGAGGTTTCCAGGTCATCTGGATTCTATGAGGTGACCATACCTGTTTACAAATTACTCCTGTGAGTACTGAATATCAGTAATCAATTGTCATGTGTTATGCTAGATGTTTTGCACATATTATCATTTAAAATACCTAACAAATCCATAGGGTTGTTCGTTCCATTTTATAGATGTTTAATCTGGGGTTTAGGAAAAAAGTCTATCCAAGGACATGCACTTTCTTATTGGTATTAAAAGGCAGAGAGCTCAGACTTGAACCTGAATCCAGGCCAGTCTGCCAGAGCACAAGCTCTAAAACATCTTGCTGTGAGGCCTCTTGACTCCAGTACTCCAGGGTACTACTTTGTAACATGAAGGGTGGGGTCAGTGATGCATGACCACAAATTGCAGGAAAGTGAAGCTGACTGTAATTGAGTTGAAGAAAGATTAGATGTTATTCTTTGTCTTGTCCGGGAGCTGCTATTATGGTAAGTGACTTCATTTGGTGCTTATGGTCTTTGTATGCATAGGAGTGTTGTGCAGAGTCTGGAATGTGGCATTTTAAAATTCAGTGATTTTTTTTTTTTTTGTACCAGGGATTGAACCCAGGGGTGCTTAACCACTGAGCCACATCCCCAGCTCTTTTATTTTTTATTTTGAGACAGGGTTTTGCTAAGTTGCTTAGGGTCTTGCTAAGTTACTGAGGCTGGCTTCCTCCTGCTTCAGCCTCCTGGAGCTGCTAGGATTATAGTCGTGCACCACTGTGCCCGTCAAAAATTCAGTGTTTTGAGCAGTTTGTGCCATTCGTAGATTTCACTGCACACTTTGACCACACTGCTGCGGTGGGTGGGTGGGTGAGTAATAGGCAGTGATTAGGAGAGGGAGCTACAGGCAGATTTGTGCCAAACTTAGAAGCCTTGTCTGGAATGAAAAATTGACCACTGGCAAATTGCTCTGTGTGAAGCTCTTCTGTTAAGCAAAGTTGTATTTTCCAGGAGAGTAATTGTTTCCAGTGGTACTAGGAACTGCTTTGTAAGAACTCTGCAAAGGAAGATGGAGTTCAGTGATAGGAAAGTGAGAAGGAAATAGTTGGATGAATAGGAAAACAGGAGACCCTGCTTTTGGGAGAGGGCAGAATTTGGAACAGTGATTAACAAGATGTGTGCGCCCTTGGATTCCTGTGAACTCAGACTGAGCTGAGGGTGTGAAATGGTCTATGGTTGAGGTTTGCTGCAGTGAAGATGAATAGTCCTTCCTCATTTTTGGTAAAAGAAAGTGTTGTAGGGCTGTGGAAGGTGCAAATTTCTTCTGGTCTCTGCCTTGTCATCCAGTGAATCCTGGCTATTTTTTAAGGTTGAAGAATTAACTTGGGAACCAAGTTGAAAAAATCTTTCACTGGTTGTTTTTAAAAATGATGGTGACAGTCGAGACTGTGTGTGCTATAGGGAGTGGGGGTGAAGGGACTGAGTTGGTTTTAGAATGTGTTTAAAGAGGAAGTGAGTGGTAAGTCCTGCACAAGCATTTTGGAGATGTCTTGTTATTGAGAAAGTCAGTGAGGATAATGGAAAGGCTGAAAATGGATTTATGTTTTCTGAGTTGGGAATAAACTAGCAAGTGTGTGGGTGAAAATATAACTTGGATAAGTAAATGTCTTCATCAAGTCAGATCTTATTTTCTTAAAACCCTGAAAGATTCCAATTCTGGGTTTATTTGAATAATTTGATAGACATTCTTTAGCTGCAACAGAATATTGTCAGTAGATGTTATATAGATGAGATTGGGAGAAGACTTTGGGAGTACTTGGTGTAAAATTCAGTCACCCACTTAGCTACTTTGAGATGGCTGTTTTGTTTGGTTTTGTGACCTGGTTTATTTTATTTTATTTGTTTTGTGGTGGTGGTGCTGGGGATTGAACCCAGGGCCTTCTGCATGCAAGACAAGCACTCTACCAATGGAGCTATATCCCCAGCCCTGGTTTACTTTTTTTTTTTTTTAAAGTAAGCAAACTTTTCTTTGTCTTTCTACTTTTAACTTTCCCTTCTAATTGTCATGTTTGCATGTTTCTTCAAGTAGGAGCACATGGCTGACTTTTGAAACAGTAGAATGAATTGGTGACAGTTCTTGGGTCTTCTGTGCTTATCAGAAGCAGCCATGGAAATGGTGTATTTTATTGTGTTTAGGGTGTGGAAGGTCAAAAAGGAGGACAAGGCCAAATTTCAGTTCCTATTTTACCTCACACTTAACCCCTCCCCATTAATTGCCTCAGAAGAGGAAAAGAATCCCTCTGCCAGTTCATGGTGTTATACTAAGAACCGTGATTCCCACTGGGTAACTAAGGCAAAGGGACACTTAAAGGAGGAGGTGGTCATAATTTTCTCCTTCCTTCCATAGTCTTGGGCTGCCAATTTGTTGTAAAGCAAAATGTAGACTTCATGCTGAGTAGTTTAGTGGAAATTTCTTCAGTGTACAGCCTGCAAGAAATGCTTCCTATAATTTAGTTCTTTATAACTAATGTTTCTTAGGTTTCTGAACTAAGAAGTACGAGTTGAGTGGGAACAGAGTAGTCTGTTGATCTGCTCTTTTCTCTGAGCACTTAGCGTATGTGGGGGGGAAAGCAAAAAACTTTTCCTATTACCCTTATTCTACCACTCAAAGATAAGGTAGCTGAATAACACAATATTTTAGAAGGGCCATTTGCAAAGAAGAATAATAGGATGAAAGGCTTTTCCCTATAGACTTAAAACTGCCCATTTCCTAACATGTAAGTGTGGTTGCTTTCAATCAGGATTGTAAGTAAAGGAACACTTAGTTATTACTGTATTATAAAGGTTTTCTGTCTTTTTTTTTTTTTGTGGAAAGGAAGCATCCATCTGGCTCTAGTTATGCTAAAAGTAGTGGTGCTGTGTAGTAAC